ATGACCTGCATTGACCTCATAAAAGAAGCCATAGGTATGAGTCTACAGGAGATGAGCAAGGCTGCTTGAGGACATGACATTGTGTACATCACTCATTTATAGGGTCCTCAGGAGTCACAGATGATACAACAGCCTGCAACACACACGTGTTCCATTTGGATAGGATGATCCAACATCATAAAGATCAATTTTCTTCTATTTAATAAACAAATTTAGTGCAATTCCAATACAATTTTTTTCCTGGATCAAGATAACATTGTTTTTGCAGATTATATGAAAAAAAAATAAACATGCAAAATCGTTTGGAAATCTCTGGAAGAGAAGAAAAATAGAAGTAGCCTCACTAGACATTAAAATGTGCTGTGGAATCTTGATTAAAAAAGTGAAACTGCACATAAATATATACACCAATGAAATACAGTAGAAAGTCTACAAATAGGCCCAAGTACATATGAAGATTTTGTATAAGTAATATCTGAAATTGCTGGGGAAAACATGGACATTTTATAAATTTGGGACAGATGAACAACCATTTGGAAAAAAGATAAAATTAGATTCATAACTCACACAGTGCACCAGAAAAAATACAAACTGAATCTGAAATGTAAGTGTAAAAATGAGATCACTTGAATATTAGCAGAAAACATGGGTGAATTTTTTACAATCTTGGAGTAGGGAAATTTTTTAAAAATTAGTTTCAAAATCCAGTTGCAATAAAAGATTGGTTAATTTTACCAAATGGAAACAAATTACATGACAATGAAACCTTGATAAAAATCTAAAGAAAATGACACTAAAAATATCTGAATGTCACAGATAAAAAGCTGATTTTCTTAATACATAAAGAATTTTTTATTATCAATGGGGAAAATACAAAAATCTGATAGACAGGTAAAACTACAACTGCAGAATTTCATAAAGATTTACCTCTGATATTTAAATATGAGTAAAGTATTCAACTTTATTCATAATAAAAGAAATGCTAATTAAACCTATTGTGTGATGCAAGTCCTTAACTATTATACTGACAAAAATTAACAGAGCCTAACAACCTACTCTGTTGGTGAGACTATGGAAAAGCAGGCAGTCTCAAATTGCTGATAGCCGTGCAAAATGGTACACTCCAGTGAGAAGGGAATTTGGTAATGTATAACCAAACTACACATGCTACCCTTTGACACAACAATCCCACTTCTAGGAACTTGCCTAAAGATGCACTCCCACAGGCACAAAACCCAAGTTATATATGCATGATTATATACATATAATAGCAATATGTAAAAACAACCCAAATAGCCATTCATATTAGACTGAATAAATTATAGTATAACCATAAATTGAAATAGTGTGAAACAACTTAGAGGGAAAGGGGAAGGGGAGGGCAAGTGGAAGAGAGAGAAAGAAACTGATCTGGAATTATTTCAAAGATATGAGGACAAACAAAAATAAAAACAAACAGACAAAAAAAACCCCGCAAAGTACAGGATAATATTCTTCCTTTCTTGTCTGGTAAGAAGTAAAAGACAATATGTATGTATTTCCGTATTTTTGCTAAAAGAAACATGGACAGAATAAACCATAAATTAATGCAATGGGAAAGAGTGTAAAGGAAGGGAGAAATCAGGTATGGATAGAGCTATGAATAGAGCTAAGGCTAGAGCTAGAGCTAGATATTTACCAGTGATCAAGCCAACCCTCCTGTGTTGTTTGGTTCATAAAGTATTTTGTTTAATATGCTATTTCCTGACTATGAATCTCAAATTGCTGTCTAAGTTTCCTGATTCCTGGCCTAACTTGTCCATATAGCAAAGGATACATTTTTTTAAGTTGGATTTTTAAAATAAGGTTGATACATTGTTTTTCCAAGATGAATTCCACTGCAAGATTACCAAAGCAAGTTTCTCCTTTACCTTCAGCTTTCTTTTTTTCCTTGCAAGTTTGTATGTGTTGAGGAACAGAGACTTTCTCCTGTTGTGAAATGAAGAAACCTAACAGAGATCTTACAGAAACCTACTGGGGCTGTGGAGAGGCAAGCAGCTATTTTTTTATTGGGTAGTGATAAGAAGCTAATAGGAAATCATTGAGCTAAGAGATAATACTTCTAATTTCTTCTTTTCCCAAGAATATTCTGTGGGTGTTACCACATAGGCAAAACACATTTGAAAAATGATTTAGGAAATTCAGATATTTATATGTAAGCTCAAATATTTTGCTGTTTAAATTCTGTAAGCATACTGACAGTGGCAAGTTGCTGGTGCGTTTGGAAGGATTCTATGGCATAAAATTGCTGCCAGGGATAGGATCTAAGTGGGAGGATTCTTGACAAATTTTACGCAGAAAAGGGCAATCACAGTTTACCTGATAAATAGGTCCTTGGTGCAATCACATGTTTCTATACCAGGGTACATCCTCTGGGGGAAAATGATGGCTCCTCAAACTCTTTAATAAACCTAACCTTTTTGCTATGGCCCACAAAGCCCTGCATAACCCACTCTGCTTAGATATCTCACACTACCATGTACCACGCGTCCCCTGTGTTCTAGCATGACCTCTTTCTCAAGTACATCACGCTAATAACTACCTGAGCCTATGCAATGGCTGTTTCCTCTGCCTGAAATACGCGTATTCTCCTCATGTACCAATATGGATGATAGCTTCTTCTGATTCTAACCTCAACTCAAAAACCTTGACCTTAGAAGCTACCTCACCCTACCTCAAGTTATTACACTAGTCCATTTTATTTTTTCAGATTTCTTATCATTATTTGTAATTACCTTATTACATATATTTATTTACTTATCAGTTTTGTGTCTGGCACCATTAGATATAAGCCCCATGAGCAAGAAAACCAGACCTGTCTTGTTTATTGTTGGCTGAAACACCAACTTCTACAACAGCACAGTAGCAGGCATTCAGTGAGGGCTTGTTGAGTGGGTAACGAAATGCATCACAAAATGGCAATCTTTTTAAAAGGGTTGTGATAGGCAAAATAATGATCCCCTTCCCCACCAAAAAAAAAAAAAAAAAAAAAAAAAATTCCATGTCCTAACCCCTGGAACCTGTGAATATGTCATTTTACATGGTAAAGAGGACTTTGCAAATGTGACTAAAGTTCTTGAGGGAGTTAATCCTGGATTATCCAGGGGGGCTCAAAATGGTCAGAAGAGTTCTTAGGAGAGAGAGGCAGGAGAGCCAGACTCAAAGGGAGGCTGAAGGATGCCACACTGCAGGCACTGAAGGTGGAGGAGTGGTCACAAGCCTAGGAATCCAGATGACTTCTAGAGCTGAAAGGGCAAAGGAATGGACAGATGTTTTTCCTAGAGCATCCAGAAAGAATGCAGCTTTACCAACACCCTGATTTTTACCCATTGTGTGTCAGATTGCTGACCTCCAAAACTACATGATGATAAGTGTACGCTATTTTAAGCCACCAAATTTATGGTAATTTGTTACAACAGCAATAGGAAACTAATCCAAGGCAACTAATCCAATGACTAAATTGCCTCTGCCCAATGCATTAGTACCATGCCTATGTCAGCATGTGTATTAGGGTTATCTAGAGAAACAGAAACAGCAGGCCATGTGGGTGTGCATACACATGTGTGTAAAGAGAGAGATTGATTTTTAAGGAATTGGTTCATGATCATGGAGCCTGGCAAGTAAAAAAAAAAAAAAAAAAAAAAATCTGCACGGTAGACTGGCAAGCTGGAGACCCAGGGAAGAGGTGAATGCTGTAGCATGAATTCAAAGACGGTATGTGAAATATCCTAAGGGAATGTCAGTCTTTTTTTCTTAAGGTCTTCAACTGATTGTATGAGGCCCACACCCATTATGATGTTTATCTGCTTGACTCAAAGTCTACTGATTAAAATGTTAATCTCATCTAAATAAATGCCTTCCAGACCAATGTTTGAATAGATATCTGGATAGCGTGGCCTAGCCAAGCTGACAACTCAAATGGACCATCACAGCAGGTTAGAGAGGCGCTACCCGGCTACCCATCTCGGTAACTCTGTTGTTACTGCCCTGATATAAATGTTCATTCTTCAGTAGTTTCAGGCACAAGAAGTATTCAGAGGAACAAAGCCAAAAATATAAATTACTCAATACTTTTCCTGCACTGCACCCTCAGCTGGGATGGTGAGATTTAGATTAAACTACACACTTTCTATAACTCAGTGCCCCATGTGGGAAATCCAGCTTTCAAGTTTCTTCCCAAATGTGGAACATGAGGCATCACCAGCAATCTCCACTGTTCCATCCACATGCTAAATGTGGATTTGAGTGTTGTATAACAAGAATTCCTAGGTAAAATTCTGACGTAAGTTTGAAGTTACGGAAAGCCACCACATAAAAATCTGAGAACAGGACAAACCTAGACGAAGTAGATAAAGATTGGTACATGCCTGTAAACAAATTCTACCCGAATGAAGCCAATGGTGTCCTTGCATTTCTTAGTTATCAACATCACTAAATTTGACCTTTTTCTTAAGCCAGTTTGCATGGAGCTTTTTATTGTTTTCAAGTAAAAGTGTACTGCTTATATTAAATTTCATTCCTGCAACAGTGTTCTGTAAAAATTAGAACCTAGAATGTAAAATTGGCTGAGGAAAAGAACTAGGTCAATAAAGATTTCTGGCCAACACTTAAAATAACCCCCAGGTCCCTGACATAGAGCAAGATGAAGTGAGCTCCAAAAAAAGGTACGGCTCTCTGAAGGACACCCTCCCCAGTACCCAACTCTTGAGCAGGACAGTGCGCAAGGGAGATCCTTCCTCCGGCTAGAAGCAGAGCTACAAGAAAAAAATAATGATGGGTAATGATCTCAGAGACTAGAACCAAAGACAAGGTCAACCAGATTGCCTAACCAAAGTTTTCCCTGCCTAGGCAGTGTATCATTATTTTCCATGCCCGTAGAATAGGAAGCATATTATTAATTGGGATTTAGTGTGCATTATTTTCCATTCCTCCTGCTTTTTATGTTTATTTATTTTTTTCACCAAGGGAGTGTGTGAATGTAGTCCCCTGCTACCACAAATTATGCAGTCAAGTGTCCCACATTTGGGGAAATCATAGGGGTCAGCACACTCGGAGTGCAATGAACGAGCCTTGCCCTAGGAAGATGACCTTCATGATCATGGTATCTCTCCTAGCCAGGTGAATAGCTCCCTGCTTTTTAAATAAATGTTTTGGTTACAGTTACTTTGCTCTTTCTCCACCATTGCTCATTGGGTGTGTTGGGATGGTTAGACTTACTAGGTAGTCATGGTATAATGGGCTGCCATTGCACATTGAATATACTGGGATAATTACACTTACTCATTAGGCATTGGTCCATGGGTCCATATCCTTATGTGACTGGGAAGACTGCACATGACTCAGAGGTTTTATACTTGAAGATGGGTACATTTACAGGCAAGACCTTGATCTTTCTCTGAGGTTTCACTTTTGGAAATGCATAGAGGTTTTATCTGTTGTTCTTGTTACTAATTATTCTCTCTTCTTAGGGTCACAGTGCCCTGACTTCCCAACACTCACCTCCTCTGCTGACTCCACCTTTATCTCCAGATGCGCAGTGTACGACCAAAGTTGAGTCATTTCCCTTGTTCCACTTCCCAGATCACAGGGTTTGGGCCATGGTCAGGGATAAGCCAAGTCTTCCCAATTATGACAGTGAGACTGAATTTGGGGGCTGTTGATTAAGAAAGCAGATTCTCTTTTGTGTTGTGTGGGCTTGAATCTTCTCATTCAACTACAGAGCTGAAAAGGGGGTGGTGGGCCCTAGCTGGTGTGGGTCAGTTGGTTGGGTGTCATCCTGCAAATCAAAAGGTCAACAGTTTGATTCCCAGACAGGGCACATGCCTGTGTTGCAGGTTCAGTCCCCAGTCAGGGTACATACAAGAGATAACTGACCGATGTTTCTCTCTCACATCAATGTTTCACACTCTCTCTTTCTCTCTCCCGCTCTCTCTAAAAAGAAATAAATATATATATATTTTTTTTTTTAAAGAAAGGGAGTGGGGATGTATGGAGAGAATGAGAGGAGATCCAAAAAGTTGAAGCAAGAAGTTAATCTGGTAACATCATTCAAACCGAGAACCAAGCTCATTTCCAAATAATTCTATTTCTCCAAAACAAATATTTCTAGATACATCAGTCATACATTACTTAAGTCATTTTGGCTTAAGTTTTCAGTCACTTGCAAACAAAAGTGTTCTCACTAAAATAATTCCTTTATCCTGTCAGAGTGACTTGCCGGGATGGATGAGAAGATGAAATACTGTTGAGCATAAAGGACTCTGTAACCTGATATTCTAATTGCTGCTATTCTCTGTGGTCAGAAACCTTAGTGAACTGCCTCTGTCAACCTCTTTCATTGGTGAAGGACTCACTCTTTCCAACTCCTGAGGAGATTACCTCTCAGCCACTCTTACCTTTTCCTCAGCTTCCCCAGTGAGCACCTCACAATGGGCCCTCTAGAAGTAATTGTTGCAATGCCACAATGCAGAAAAAAATTTTTTGTTTTGTCTATTTTTTAACCTGCTGATTGTTCATTAAGAGCATTGAGAAAAGTTTGATGATTTTTAGAATTTTACAGCTGGAAGATAATATCTAACAATCCATGTTTGTGAGTCACAGATAAGAAATTTATTAAATAAACCTAAAAGAAGTGTATCAACTAAGATTATGTTCAGCTGTGAACAATAAAAGCCCCCTGTGCAGTAGGTTAAATGCGTCAGATATAGGTTACAGATGGTGTAGTTTACGTGAGATGGCATGATTTTTTTTTTTTTTTTTATCATTTATAGAATACGAGGATCAGCAGCTGTGGTGGAGATTGTTTTTTGCTCACTAGCACAAATTCCACCCTCTTCTACTCTAATAAATTCGTTGCTTGGCTCAGCGCAGATTTCTAGCTGAACTACATTTCTTAGCATCCCGAGATTTAGGCGTGGCCAAGAGGCTAGGTTCTCACCCAAACAATACCAGCAGAATTGGTGAGTGCCTTCCGTTGATGGAGGTGTGTTCCTTATGGTTTGGCATGGTAAAGATTAAGGCAAGCTAGAAGCCACATGTTGAGGATGGCAGAGTGCCTGCCAGCCTGGGTCCCTGGGTGCCTTTGAGGTATACAGCCTGCTTGTCTAGCCTGTGAAAGGGAAATAAATTTCTAACTTGTTTGAGCCTTCATATTGAGAGGCTCTTTTTTCTATAGAAGAATGACCTTCACCATAATTAATACTGTAGTCCAAAGCTAATATAGTAGGTATATGCCATCTATTATCACAAATCTTTCAACTCTGTTGCTCTAATTCACTTGATTTCCATTAGAGATACCTCATGGTCCAAAATTGTTATAGAGCACCTGCCATTATATGTATATTTCCAATAGCAGAAAGAGAGAGAAAAAATATAAAAGAGATGGTGCATTTGCTTTTTAAGAGACTTTCCAAAAATGCCACTCTGTACTTCAGCTTACATCTTGTTGGCAACAGCTTAGTCACTTTCCCGGCCTTACTTAGTTGCAAGGGAAATGTATCTTTACATGGGTGGCACTGTGTCCAACTATAAAAATCAGGGTTGTTTCACTAAGAGGAATGGAAACTATAGGGGATAAAATAACAATTTTTCATATAAAAAGAAAAATAATATTTAATTTCTCATCAAAAAGAAGAAATAAAAAACAACAATGAATATCAGTATGGACATGGCAGAAATGGAGCAGTCCTATAGGGATTGTTCTCAACCTGAGTCATCAAAGAACCAGGAGAAGAAAGTTCCTGAAATCTTCAGCAAAATTCCTACTGCAAAAAATGGCAAACACCAGTTCCAGTTTCAACATCTGCAATATTGTAAAGGATATGTAAATGAGTTGTATATTGGTTAGGCACTCAGGCCAGACAAATGCTGGGAGCTTCCTTACATGAACAGTGAATATCAGGAGTTTCTACGAAGAGCTTTTTATTTTTTGTTTGACCTAAGTGAAGGACACTCTGTAAGCAAGGCTATCATACAAGGCCATCCACCCTTCTGCCCCTCGGAGTATTTTTGTCTTGTTCTAATGAAGTTATATACATGTAAAAATTTTGGCTTGGGTTATGGTCTCCTGTTTCTAAGGGAAACATTTTTAGAATATTTTAAAGTAATCCTCATTAAGTGCCTCAGCATTACCCAAATTTTGTTTCTAGGAATATAGTTCAGAAATATTTACAAATTGAGTAATGGTTTCAGCTCTGAATTTCTCATTGCTTCTTAATGTATATGTGATAAATGCTCAAACACTAATAATGATTCTCCAAGCAGAATATAAGAGCAGAAAAAACATAACCCAAGTATGAGCTACTTGTGGTCCTTCAGTCTTGTTTGACACCTTATAGTCTTATATGGCTCTGGGAGTAGGTTACTCAGATAAATAGATGATAGATAGGTAGATAGATGATAGATAGATGATAGATATATGATAGAATCTCCTGATCCTACATAATTTGTGAGAACCATCATTTTCTTCCCATATTTTCAAGTATTTACAGAAAGCTTACTTTATTTCTTACCTCTCTTTCCAGTCTCTTATTCTCCTCCTGTCACTGAATGTTTTTATCCTCTCCCATAGACCCAAATGCAGAACACTGTGATGTTCCAGTGTAACTGCAAACACAGGGCTATAATAAAAATTCCTCTGGATTTGCAGATCAGGTCAGTTTTCTTGTCCTCATTCTTTTTTCTTCAAGGATTTCTCTGGGACTTCCCTTGACCCAGTCAAAAACAATCATCAAAGTCTTTTGCTAAACAAAGGCAATATTCAAGTTCTTAAAATGATAGTCTAGCCTTAAATATCATCATAAATTCTTAGGCATGTCCCGCATATTTGTCCATTTTTGTAGGTGAAAGATAGTATTCTGATTTATTCTTCTTCTAACATGAAAAAACACATCTCATGAAAAAAAAAGAGTTGCAATTTATTAATTTTTAAATGATAATTTTCTTTATATGAGAATCTTGTGTATAATAACTGATAAAAAATGCCCTGTGAAATTTAACAGTAATACTTTAATCTTCATTGTAATAATAATAATAATCTGTTATGTACAGAGTTCCTCGCAGGTGTCAAGTGCTGCTCTAGCACTTGCATCCTTCACTCATTTAATCTTCCATTTTACTGATGAGAAAACTGAATAACAGAAAGAATGAGTATTGGGATAAACACAGCGTTGCTGCAGGCTGCTGTGTTCCTGTAGGCATTTGTGTTCTTTGAGGCAGTGAAATGGTTTGCACTGCTCTGGCCGCCAAAGCCCTCAGGTCCTCTCGGCCCATCCAGCTGTACTTCCCAGACCACGGTGACTCAAAGAGTACAACTCTACCATCAGTACTCAGTCTAGATTTACGACGTTTAAGTTACTCCAAATTTTAAATTTGGTCCATCCCACTCAGTTCACACTCAACAGTCATCCTTTTTCTGAAAAAAGGATTAAGTAAAAATTCGTTTCCCTGACTACACCGTCTCCACCCCATGTGGTGCACCACCTAGGAGGCACAACACAGACAAACTCTTCAGTCAAGCAAAGGGCAACTGCGCTATTCTGTTTTCCAGGAGTTTCTTCTATTCCACACCAATGCTGATACCTTTTTCTGGGGCTGTCCAGGTAGGAGTATAAATTTTCCTACCCCCGGGAGCTGTCCTGAGAGCTTGTTAAACAAGAATTATCATTTTCATTTATGATGTCCTCCCTTTGGAAATGCTTTATGACTGACTTGGGCATTTCCCCCAGCAACCCATTCTCTCTTTCAGGGAAATGAAGATAAGATACTTGACATTTACTGCATAGAGTGATTTGGAATAATATTAAGGTAAATTCTGAGATGTTTCTCAAGCTAGTTGGAAGGAACACGGAGTGGACATATTTCTCCGCCAGTGAATGCTCTGGATGCAGACTGTGGACTGACATATTAACAGAACAGTACCATGTGGCCATGCCCTGTGTTCACCTAAGAAGAGACACGAAATGGATAAAGTCTGGAGAAGACTAGAAAAAGCTGGTTTATGTATGGCAAGAACACACATATTCCATACTAATGACCTCATTCTCTTAGAATGTGACCAATGTTGACCCAACTTTGTGACCTTTTTGGGTGGGCTGGTAGACCCTTCACCTCTATATGATTTCTACTC